TCAGTGGGCACATGGTCATCACAATTGGCGTGAGTGGAGGCGTGTCAACTTCTGATGAAAGTCGCTTTGTGTCTCCCTTGCAGACGGAAGAGTCAGAATTTGGCGGCGTCGAGGTGATCGTTTCGCTGACAGAAACGTTGTGGAAAGGGATCCGTGGTGTGGACCTAGCATCATGATATGGGCAGGGATAAGACTTAATGCGAGATTTGGACCCATGTGCTTTCTGAATGTTGGTCAAGGTCGAGGACAAGGCGTCACTGCTCAGCGGTATATCGACCAAGTGATCAGACCCCACTTTGTTCCATTTTTTGCACAACATCAGCAACACATTTCCCAGCAGGATAACGCTCGTCCCCATGTTGCCAGAGCTACCATGGCCTTTCTGCAACAACACAACATCCGTGTTCTACCGTGGCCAGCCCTCAGCCCTGATCTGAACCCCATCGAACACTTGTGGGTTGAGGTTCAAAGGCGTCTGCACACCTGCCGATGATCTACGCACAGCTGCTCTGGATGTGTGCAGAAGGATCCCTAGGGCCTTCACAAATCGTCTGATCCACTCAATGTACAGGAGATGTGTGGCAGTGATCAATGCTAATGGTGGTCACACCAGGTATTGACTGACATTTTGGGTATTGACCCGAAACTGTGTAAGCCCTTAACATTTGAAAAAACAAACAATTATGTCATCTGCCTTTTAATCCATTAAACTGTCTTCAGTCAAATTTTTGTCAATCTTGCCCTATTATTATTTCTTGTCTTTAATGTTGAAAATAAATAACATGTATACTGCATACTTGACTTGCGTTTCTTTTGCGTGTGAGTATATTTATCCTTGGAATAACCACAATATTATACTCACTTTTTCCTGGCCAGGTCTCACGACAGTGAAAGATCAACTGTGTCTTAAAACTGCTATGACATGGCTTTATATAATAAAGTCAGAGCCAAAACGCATGCTTTTCACATGTCAAAATGGTGTGTTTGGGCGACCCGTTCCAGTATTAAGGATGACATTTACCCGTACCAAAATAGATCCCAAAAGTTATGATGAAAGAGCACCTGATGTGACAGTAATCAATTGAGTCATCCTCAATTAAATATATTTATAACGCCACTCAGCAAGATGATACCGTCTAGATTGTTGTTTGTTTCTTTTTTATCGCCACACTCAGCAATATTCCAGCTTTAAATATATGACGGCGGGCTGTAAATGATAGCGTCCGGACCAGACAATTCAGTGATTGATTTCATGATCATAGACACTCGCAACTGGGATACAATGACATGCATCAACCAAGTCAGCGAGCCTGACCACCCGGTCCTGTTATTTCGGCAAGTTTGTTGTTAAATCAATACTATTGTTAGCCCAGGTTTCTACAAAGCAAGTTATATCATGACTTGAAACGAAATCAATGAATTGTGGTAGGATCTGGTTAGTGTTTCTTTGCCCCTTTGGTACAATAAATTATCCAATTCTCGCTCTCCATAGTTCACATTCATGCCGTTTGCTGCAGTTTAGTACTGTAGAGTTCCTTTATCATTGACAAATACAACATTTCTGAGCTCGCAAACCTTCATGTTCATCTCCGCACGCGCATAGACAGGCAATTAACACCTCGGAGTTAATCAACTCAACACTCTAATGAGCGAATAACCTCGATTGGGTCAGATGGGGAGAAATGGCACGGAGAGCCTTATCCTTAAAATATGCCTCTTGGACAATTATGATTGACCAATACGCCTGACTAAAGTCGCTTATATCCTTAAATTATGCCTCTTGGACAATTATGAATGACGAATACGCCTGACTAAAGTCGCTTATATCCTTAAAATATGCCTCTTGGACAATTATGATTGACGATTACGCCTGACTAAAGTCGCTTATATCCTTAAAATTTGCCTCTTGGACAATTATGATTGACTAATACGCCTGACTAAAGTCGCTTATATCCTTAAAATATGCCTCTTGGACAATTATGATTGACCAATACGCCTGACTAAAGTCGCTTATATCCTTAAAATATGCCTACTGGACAATTATTATTGACTAATACGCCTGACTAAAGTCGCTTATATCCTTAAAATATGCCCTTGGACAATTATTATTGACCAATAAGCCTGACTAAAGTCGCTTATATCCTTAAAGTATGCCTCTTGGACAATTATGATTGACCAATACGCCTGACTAAAGTCGCTTATATCCTTAAAATATGCCTCTTGGACAATTATGATTGACGAATACGCCTGACTAAAGTCGCTTGGACTAATAAAGGAAATGTTTGACTTCCAGGACGTACTGGACCTAGAGAGCTCGCAATAATAAAAATGTACTTGACCTACACTAGGCCCATCTGGAGGTTAACCAGGGATTACTAAAAATAGGGGTATAAGATTTATTACCAAAGCCAATAAGTTTAGTTCAGTAACACAATAAGGAAGCAAGGTCTCAACTGTCCCATAATTACTTACTAGCGAAACTTCCATTCAGTAGAAGAAAATTGTTATATTTAAGTGTCACCCGGCGTTGTATACAATAATAATTTGGTAAAATACAGGCAGATATATTTAAAAAGAATAACGCCAGCCGGCCTATAAAGGCCTATGAGACACATGTTACATAGTAAAAAGCATGTAATATAAAAAAGAAGTTAATAAAACCACTTAACTGCATTTGAAATACTAAGAAAATTTGAGTCACGAACCATTGGGTTTTATAAATTATGCAATGAGGGACTTACGACGGTTATACATTTTAGACAATGATACGGCTATTTTCTTACACAGGGAATTATTGGACATAAGGTAGAGGAACTGGTCAACTGTAGACAGCTGAGGGAAAGAAGGATTAAGAGTAGAAGCAAACTGAAAGAGGTCGTAACGCAAATCAGCATAAAGTTGACAAAACATAAGAAAATGAAGTTCATCTTCGACAGAATTACTGTTGCAGAACTTACCTATTCTCTCCCCAAGGGGGATAACTGGACGTGAAAACCTACGAAGTTCTACCTGCAGCGGGAGTGTTCCACAGTGGAATTTACTTAGTATACTTCTCTCGCTTCTATCAAGAGGAGAGTTGACATAAGCTTCAACATGTAAACTATTTTTAAACAAGCGGTATGTTCGTGTTTATTTCAATTAACGTTTCCTTTGTCATTCCATAATTGGGTAAACCAGTTAATATAATCAGCATAGATCAAACCCTGTTTTGAAAGATCAAATTCACATGGCGAAATGTCATAAATATTAGAAACAGGCAACTCCCAAGATGAAACGAGAGATAAAACTTTACTGTACCATGATTTACTAAAATTGGAAGACCATCTGTTAACAGCAAAAACAAGTCTTGAATGCTGAACATAATTAATACGACGCCAAAAACGGAGAATTTCAATGTACTGTTTTGTAAAACAGTCACCACGGACTGCAACATTCGGGGTTTTGTTACTCACACCGAGAAAAAAGCGACATGCTCTGTTTTGGATGTTATTGATACATCTGAATCCCTTAGTTCCCCCCAGAGGGCTGAACCATACGATAAAATAGGCTGCACAAGGTTTTCATAGAGAGTATTATAAACGCTATAAGGTAAACCACCAACTGACTTAAATTTACATATGATGACACCCAATGCACGACTGGCAGACTTGGCTAGCTCGTTCACTGTAAAATTTAGGTCAAGATGCTCATGAAACCGGAGATATTTGTATGCATGAGTATAATCAATGACATTGTTACTTAAAGTAAAAACAAATTTGGATCGGGGTATTACATTTGGGCGGAAACGGATTACGTTTGTTTTTTTAATATTGACTAGCAAGCGCCAACGGGCGCACCAGTCGCTAACACACTCAAGCATACGTTGCAAGCAACACTCGTCCGGGGCTATTAAAGCAATATCGTCTGCATAAAACAGAGTACTCAACATTGTATGATCAATGTATATACCGCAGTTCAAATAGTTGATTTCACTGACCAAGTCGTTTACGTATACTGAAAGTAATGTCGGCGACATGACACAACCCTGTCGAACTCCAGAATAGACTGGGAATATATCAGTGTGACTGTTGTTTACACGAACATATGATTTAGTGTTGTTATACATTGACTGAACTGCATGAAAAAATCTACCATTTATACCTAGACACATAAGTTTGTACCACAGACACTCTCTATTGACAGTGTCAAATGCTTTTTTATGTCAATGAGGCATACATAGGTAGATTGTTTTGAATATTTTCTGCTATTGGTAATTGAGTACAGAGTATACAAATGTTCTTGAGTACTACGTTTTGTGCGAAACCTGTTCTGTTCGTCAGCTAGAATGTTATTACTTTCTAACCATGTATTTAACCGCGTATTTAAAATGTCAGAATAAAGTTTACATGGAATTGATAAGAGAGATATGCCTCTATACCCGAGGGGGTCACGGGGATTTACAACCAGATAAGTACAATTAGTGAGGGGACAAAATGACCATAAATACTTGAGAAATATTTACATAGTACTAGATAATCCCATGTACTGCGTGAAAGTTACCAAACAATCTCGATACATGAACAGATCTGCCTACATATATGTGATAACATATATCAAATCAATACATGATGAAAGTAGGAGATTAAACTGCGAGAGGATAACATTTACAGACAACAAATTCTCTTACATTACCCTGATGAACATAAAGACACCCAGCTGTGCTTAGCGGCAGCGACCGCCTGACAGGAATGGACCGTGACAGAGAATTAACAAAATTGGTGTCACGAACGTAAGGATTTTTGGGGCGTTTTTAACTGAATAACAACAATAACAATAACAATAACAATAACAATAATAATAATTATAAGGCTGCATTGTTGAGGAGTCTTCACATTCTCCGAAAAGATCTGGGTGGGTTTGACTAGGCAGCGCTTCCTGGGAGAAGTCCGATTCGCTGTCTGGGCTGCGTGTAGAGGGGGCAAGGGCCCTGAGCTGATGATGACCCTAACCAGCCTGACTGTGGATCACCCACACTCTCTTTGCTGCATTTTATATCATAATCTGTAAATAATCATAATCATAATCATCATCATCATCATCATCATCATAATAATAATAATAATGAAATGAAGACTATGTAATAAATTTAATGAAAGGATGCTTCATTTTAATGGCTCTCCCTGCAACACTTTCTATTAGAGATACATAGTCGTAACGTTTTATATGTCAAAGAAAGCCTTACATGTTGTTGTGGCCTGGCTTTTGAATTCATCGACCTTAAAAATCGAATCACTATCAACATCCGTGAACCAGACTTAGAAATGTAACTTAATGTGTAATGTATAGTTAAGTTACTCACTGATACCAGTAGAAACAAAAGACCAAGGACGCCGATGCCAAGGAAAGGATTCCCCTGCAATATCTGAATGAAAGATTTGGCTTCAGTTATCTAAAACAGCATGAAGCTTATAAAATACATTCCTATCCCAAATAAAAACGAATGAAATACAGTAAACTACGGTTATAACGAACACGCTTATAACGAAAGGACGGATATAACGAACTTACTTTTTTGAGCCGACTATTTGCTGTAGTTATGCTGTATATATGCTTATAACGAACTACGATTATAACGAACTAAAATTAGTAGTCCCTTTGAGTTCGTTATAACCGTGCTTTACGGTAGATATTGTTTTAGAACGACATTGCTAGCTTGACGATACATTTGAAATGTATAATAAGTTGGTGTTTAATGCTTTAGATGTTTCAACAAATCTTAATTAACTATTTGATTATATCTTTTTCGTGGCATGGATGGATAACATTCTTGTCCTTCAAATTATCATATGGTTCCAGCCTTCTGTGCCTTGTGGTTAGGGCTGCGACGAGTCCAAATTTATTACCCGGGTACCCGCCACCCTATTACCCGGCCCTACCCGCTATAGGTCTCAAGTGTTGGGAACAAAATGTCCGAATGGGAATTAATTTACCGCAGCACTGGCAAAAAATAATTAGATTCATGCAGAACGAATGCCTGCATAGTGAGAAAGAAATGTGAACATTAGCTAAACCTGTAGTGTAACCATTGAGTTTTTTGTCAATGGCATTAAACAGTATGTCACTCGACTAACCACGGGTCCGGGTAGTCATGTGGGTACCCGGGTCCTACTCAGGACCCACCCGACCCGAGTACCCGAGTTACCCGTTCCAGCCCTACTTGTGGTGTCTGAGAAGAGGATTCTTAAAGATTTTGTTTTTTTAAGAGCATTCCGTCAATTTAACGAAGGAAGTTTAAACATATTCTATTTCATATTTCTAGATCTTGTGCATTATGGAGAAACGCTTTTTAAACAGTTTTGATTTGATATTTTTCGTTTAAAATTATTTTAAAGACAAACATGAGTTCTCTTATGTTGCTAGACAACCTCCTGAATTTCAGACTTCAGCCATTTCGGAGAAGTCGAAAGTTCACAGACAAAAGGTCAGAACCCCAACAAAATGTCTATGCCATAAGCTCACATGGAGCTACACGGCCCAGATTGTCACTTACGATTACTGTCAACAGCACTGTCAGACCGATGAGTCCGTAAACCCGAGCAGTCAAAATCATGTCCACCATTCGTTTGTAGAAACCCTTGTAGACGTTTAAAATAAATGCAGATGTTTTATTTATGAGATAAATATAATGTGTTTTTAATGTAGAGTTTTGTTACCTGGAGATTTGACGCCAGTAAATTGAACATGGAACCGAACTCGCTGTTCAAAATTTACTTGAAGTCAACAGGCAACATATCTTTTCATTAAACGCATTCTCCATTCTGCCACGACAAACTTCAAAGCAAATTCTTTAATATGAGCCAAAAGAATTGTTCCTGCTTCGAACTGTTCACTTTGTCGATTCTTAGGTTACAATACAGGTTAGAGGAAGGTGTTTTAAGTTTTAGCAAATAATTTTTTGAGCAGATTACCATTGCATTTCAGTTGGAGTATCTGTCTATTAAAAAGAAAGAAAATTACTTACGCTGTGGATAGCTGCAGCGAAATCGCCCCCAGCACTTATCCAGATATCCTTTGCTGTGGCATGACCCTGAACAAGCGTGAGTAATTGTATTTTAAGGCCAAGCATCAATATTCAAGCTAAAACAACATGATAATGGGGTCTGGACTGATCCACACAACAAGCCAATTTTAAGTCACATAGTCTGACCAACTCATTAATCAAAGCATCCGTTCTTCTTACAAGACCCATACAATCCTCCAAGTCACATTGTCTGACCATTTGTTTCTCTTACAGGGTCCACACAATCATCCAAGTCACATAGTCTGACCAACTCATTAATCAAAGCATCCGTTCTTCTTACAGGGCCCACACAATCCTCCAAGTCACATAGTCTGACCATTTGTTCCTCATACAGGATCCACACAATCATCCATGTCACATCGTCTGACCATCTGATCCTCTTACAGGATCCACACACTCATCCAAGTCACATAGCCTGACCATCTGATCCTCTTACAGGATCCACACGATCATCCATGTCACATCGTCTGTCCATCTGATCCTCTTACAGGATCCACACGATCATCCATGTCACATCGTCTGTCCATCTGATCCCCTTACAGGATCCACACAATCATCCAAGTCACATAGTCTGACCATCTGATCCCCTTACAGGATCCACACAATCATTCATGTCACATCGTCTGACCATCTGATCCTCTTACAGGAACCACACAATGATCCAAGTCACATAGTCTGACCATCTGATCCCCTTACAGGATCCACACAATCATTCATGTCACATCGTCTGACCATCTGATCCCCTTACAGGAACCACACAATCATCCAAGTCACATAGTCTGACCATCTGATCCCCTTACAGGAACCACACAATCATCCAAGTCACATAGTCTGACCATCTGATCCTCTTACAGGATCCACAGGATCATCAAAGTCACATCGTCTGACCATCTGATCCTCTTCCAGGATCCACACAATGATCCAAGTCACATCGTCTGACCATCTGATCCTCTTACATGATCCACACAATGATCCAAGTCACATCGTCTGACCATCTGATCCTCTTACAGGATCCACATAATCATCCAAGTCACATCGTCTGACTATCTGATCCTTTACAGGATCCACATAATCATGCAAGTCACATTGCCTGACCATCTGATCCTTTACAGGATCCCGGCAATCATCCAAGTCACATTGTCTGACCATCTGATCCTCTTACAGGATCCACACAATCATCATAGTCACATAGTCTGACCATCTGATCCTCTTACAGGATCACACAACTCCAAGTCACATTGTCTGAACATCTGATCCTCTTACAGGATCCACACAATCATCCATGTCATATCATCTGACTACTGATCCTCTTACAGGATCCACACAACTCCAAGTCACATTGTCTGAACATCTGATCCCTTTACAGGATCCACACAATCATCCATGTCATATCATCTGACTACTGATCCTCTTACAGGATCCACACAACTCCAAGTCACATAGTCTGACCATTTGTTCCTCATACAGGATCCACACAATCATCCATGTCACATCGTCTGACCATCTGATCCTCTTACAGGATCCACACACTCATCCAAGTCACATAGCCTGACCATCTGATCCTCTTACAGGATCCACACGATCATCCATGTCACATCGTCTGTCCATCTGATCCTCTTACAGGATCCACACGATCATCCATGTCACATCGTCTGTCCATCTGATCCCCTTACAGGATCCACACAATCATCCAAGTCACATAGTCTGACCATCTGATCCCCTTACAGGATCCACACAATCATTCATGTCACATCGTCTGACCATCTGATCCTCTTACAGGAACCACACAATGATCCAAGTCACATAGTCTGACCATCTGATCCCCTTACAGGATCCACACAATCATTCATGTCACATCGTCTGACCATCTGATCCCCTTACAGGAACCACACAATCATCCAAGTCACATAGTCTGACCATCTGATCCCCTTACAGGAACCACACAATCATCCAAGTCACATAGTCTGACCATCTGATCCTCTTACAGGATCCACAGGATCATCAAAGTCACATCGTCTGACCATCTGATCCTCTTCCAGGATCCACACAATGATCCAAGTCACATCGTCTGACCATCTGATCCTCTTACATGATCCACACAATGATCCAAGTCACATCGTCTGACCATCTGATCCTCTTACAGGATCCACATAATCATCCAAGTCACATCGTCTGACTATCTGATCCTTTACAGGATCCACATAATCATGCAAGTCACATTGCCTGACCATCTGATCCTTTACAGGATCCCGGCAATCATCCAAGTCACATTGTCTGACCATCTGATCCTCTTACAGGATCCACACAATCATCATAGTCACATAGTCTGACCATCTGATCCTCTTACAGGATCACACAACTCCAAGTCACATTGTCTGAACATCTGATCCTCTTACAGGATCCACACAATCATCCATGTCATATCATCTGACTACTGATCCTCTTACAGGATCCACACAACTCCAAGTCACATTGTCTGAACATCTGATCCCTTTACAGGATCCACACAATCATCCATGTCATATCATCTGACTACTGATCCTCTTACAGGATCCACACAACTCCAAGTCACATTGTCTGAACATCTGATCCTCTTACAGGATCCACACAATCATCCATGTCATATCATCTGACTACTGATCCTCTTACAGGATCCACACAACTCCAAGTCACATTGTCTGAACATCTGATCCTCTTACAGGATGCACACAATCATCATAGTCACATAGTCTGACCATCTGATCCTCTTACAGGATCCACACAATCATCCATGTCATATCATCTGACTACTGATCCTCTTACAGGATCCACACGATCATCCATGTCACATCGTCTGTCCATCTGATCCTCTTACAGGATCCACACGATCATCCATGTCACATCGTCTGTCCATCTGATCCCCTTACAGGATCCACACAATCATCCAAGTCACATAGTCTGACCATCTGATCCCCTTACAGGATCCACACAATCATTCATGTCACATCGTCTGACCATCTGATCCTCTTACAGGAACCACACAATGATCCAAGTCACATAGTCTGACCATCTGATCCCCTTACAGGATCCACACAATCATTCATGTCACATCGTCTGACCATCTGATCCCCTTACAGGAACCACACAATCATCCAAGTCACATAGTCTGACCATTTGTTCCTCATACAGGATCCACACAATCATCCATGTCACATCGTCTGACCATCTGATCCTCTTACAGGATGCACACAATCATCATAGTCACATAGTCTGACCATCTGATCCTCTTACAGGATCCACACAATCATCCATGTCATATCATCTGACTACTGATCCTCTTACAGGATCCACACAACTCCAAGTCACATTGTCTGAACATCTGATCCTCTTACAGGATCCACACAATCATCATAGTCACATAGTCTGACCATCTGATCCTCTTACAGGATCCACACAATCATCCATGTCATATCATCTGACTACTGATCCTCTTACAGGATCCACACAATCATCCAAGTCACATAGTCTGACCATCTGATCCTCTTACAGGATCCACACGATCATCCATGTCACATCGTCTGTCCATCTGATCCTCTTACAGGATCCACACGATCATCCATGTCACATCGTCTGTCCATCTGATCCCCTTACAGGATCCACACAATCATCCAAGTCACATAGTCTGACCATCTGATCCCCTTACAGGATCCACACAATCATTCATGTCACATCGTCTGACCATCTGATCCTCTTACAGGAACCACACAATGATCCAAGTCACATAGTCTGACCATCAGATCCCCTTACAGGATCCACACAATCATTCATGTCACATCGTCTGACCATCTGATCCCCTTACAGGAACCACACAATCACCCAAGTCACATAGTCTGACCATCTGATCCCCTTACAGGAACCACACAATCATCCAAGTCACATAGTCTGACCATCTGATCCTCTTACAGGATCCACAGGATCATCAAAGTCACATCGTCTGACCATCTGATCCTCTTCCAGGATCCACACAATGATCCAAGTCACATCGTCTGACCATCTGATCCACTTACATGATCCACACAATGATCCAAGTCACATCGTCTGACCATCTGATCCTCTTACAGGATCCACATAATCATCCAAGTCACATCGTCTGACCATCTGATCCTTTACAGGATCCACATAATCATGCAAGTCACATTGCCTGACCATCTGATCCTTTACAGGATCCAGGCAATCATCCAAGTCACATTGTCTGACCATCTGATCCTCTTACAGGATCCACACAATCATCATAGTCACATAGTCTGACCATCTGATCCTCTTACAGGATCACACAACTCCAAGTCACATTGTCTGAACATCTGATCCTCTTACAGGATCCACACAATCATCCATGTCATATCATCTGACTACTGATCCTCTTACAGGATCCACACAACTCCAAGTCACATTGTCTGAACATCTGATCCCTTTACAGGATCCACACAATCATCCATGTCATATCATCTGACTACTGATCCTCTTACAGGATCCACACAACTCCAAGTCACATTGTCTGAACATCTGATCCTCTTACAGGATCCACACATTCATCCATGTCATATTATCTGACTACTGATCCTCTTACAGGATCCACACAACTCCAAGTCACATTGTCTGAACATCTGATCCTCTTACAGGATGCACACAATCATCATAGTCACATAGTCTGAACATCTGATCCTCTTACAGGATCCACACAATCACCCAAGTCACATAGTCTGACCATCTGATCCTCTTACATGATCCACACAATCATCCATGTCATATCATCTGACTACTGATCCTCTTACAGGATCCACACAACTCCAAGTCACATCGTCTAACCATCTGATCCTCTTACAGGATCAAGGCAATCATCCAAGTCACATCGTCTGACCATCTGATCCCTATTGTTGTCTGACCATGGACATATTGAGAAACTTACCCGAGTTTCTTTTGCTATCAAATGTACGAGTCGATAATTGTTTCAAATTCCGAGGCTTGCCGAGTGTTATTGACGAGGGATATATTGGATATCAAACGACACAAGGGTGATATACTAGTTATTGTTCCTCCTATCTTCTCAGTTTGTAAACGGCAATAACCAGGGCTTTGTGTGTAAAATGTGCAGCTTACCAGCTTCAGTCGTAGAGAGATTAGTGATATCTTTTGATTTTAACATCATGGTAACGGATGACATCACATTTGTTTGTAAAGTATTGCGATGCATTTTCATTGAAACAATATCCCGTAGGAGAGAACGCTTGATCTCCCTCAAGCAATATCTCCTGCTGAAGCCTGTTTTGGGGCGGTGAGGTAGCCTAGTGGTTAAAGCCTTCACTCGTCACGCCGAAGACCCGGGTTCGATTCCCTACATGGGTACAATGTGTGAAAACCCAAGACTTACCTTAGCGTTTCTTTCGATTATGAAATGACCAACACACAACTGGCAGAGGACAGCTATTAGAATACAAACACACGCCTGAAAAAAAGGGTATAAGGACGAGGTTGTTTGTTTGTTGTTTATGACGGCAGTCTGTATATAATCGAGAATAATTATCATGAGAATCGATCTACGCAATTGGTATACGATGACACGCATAAAAAGAATTCCAACCACCCGAGCCAGTGTCTGGGTGAGATAACTACACTACTGTACAATACAGTAATACAATATACTGTATACAAACACAGACAAAGTTTAGATGACAGTTGACTGCTACCTGTATGTGGGCGAAGGCGGAGAATTACAATAATGTTCAATACAGTCATACATGTCCTATTTCTAGATCTTACCTTCTACTTGGCTTACCGACAAAAATGGAAGAGCTGTATAGACATGTATAAAAGGGAAACGTTTCCTGTGCAGTTTGCGATCACTTGGTATAAGGAGTTTAGCACAACGCAGTGAAAGAACAGCAAATCGCAAATGGGATACGATGACTTGCATCCACCAAGTCAGCGAGCCTGACTGCGATTCCGTTAGTCGCCTCTTACGACAAGATTAGTAGCCTGTTACGGCAAGCATGGGTTGCTGAAGATCTATTCTAACTCGGATCTTCACGGGTCCGTCTTATACATCCAGGTGTGGATACAGGTTATATGTTTGCATACATCTTGATTCACCCTCGAATCAAGGGGTTATAGCGAAAACTGCACCTCACCAAAACGTCACCGGGCGAAAACGGCGAAAACGGCACCTCGACTCAAGCGAAAACGGCTACTATTGCCTGGCGAAAACGGCACCTTATTTTTTTTACCTTGGTCAAATAAGTGATATTAAACTTACATGTCACCACCTCACGAAGGTTATGATATGATATACAATTAAATAATACATTTGGGAGTGATATCATGGTTAGAAAAAACAACAACATGCTGTATCATGTGATAACTGCGACCATGTAAATAAACCATATATATTACTACAAAAATCGTTCTTATCATTATTAAAAATAGAGGTGACGTTTTCGCCCGACACATAGTAACCGTTTTCGCCAAATGTGGGCCCACCTCGAACTTTAGATTAGGCAAACGGAGTTAGTTAGTTAGTTAGTTAATGGGGAGAACCGGAACTTTTCAAAACAGGGTTTCGATGTACAGTATTCTCGATGTACAGTACAGTGTACAGTATTCTGAGATCGGTAAAAGTGACATGACATCATATCAAACTCATTGCATTTCAGTCACAAATTTGTGAAAACGGTATATAGTTAACCAGGCTAACACGTGTTGAAACATACCACTCTGTATCTTTGCCAGTCCTCTCGTAGACGTACAAGCACAACTCCGGCTGTCATGGCCAACACTATACAGAGAGTGCCGATGTCTTCAAGGAGAGGGCAGAAAGCTGCTACGTCCATGTTCTGGTCTGTCAGCAGTAACCGTATCACGAAGCCAGGCGACACCCATGTCAGGAACCCAGTAGTTAGGAAGCCTACTAGAATTATCTGAAGAAGAATATCAAGTAATCCATCACGTCTTCCACCCATCCGATGAGCGGTCGGGTAGCCTAGTGGTTAAAGCGTTCGCTCGTCACGCCGAAGACCCGGGTTCGATTCCCGACATGGGTACAATGTGTGAAGCCAATTTCTGGTGTCCCCCGCCGTGGACAATGATTACTTGTCAGGAATGTAGTACTATATAATATATCTATATTTAGGTGCAAGTGTGTTGCTATATTTAGAAGCTAGTGCTTTACTGATCCAGCACTGTGCGGAACCTACCAGAAGCTGGTTATACTATATGAGGGACCGACGGCATGCCTATGTTATCTCACATTTCATCTTGCATTAGATCAAGACCAGCTCTTGTGTGAAGATCACTTTTCACCCTGGAGATCCAGCCTAGGCCTATCTCGGAAGCTTGACCACTGTTGCTGCCAGGTGAATATTCTCACTGACATTTGCTACAACCATTACTCTCATATTTTATATTGCCACTGTACTTGTAACATGTATTGCTTTTATTCTCTGTACTGATTTTGATTTGTAAACCTAGCCTTTATAATACAAGTGTTAATTGTATACCATTTGTTAAGTGTTTGTTAGTTTTACACTGAATTCTTTTGCATACATATTTTTGGGTTAACTTACTGTCACAATTTGGAAATCGACACGTCACACGGAAATCGTCCATGATGTTATTGAAAGAGCGCCCAGAAAGCGGAAGGTCGATGGTTCGATCCCCGGCCCCGTCATGCCAAAAGACGTTAACCGGTAGTACTTGTTGTTACCCTGCCTGGCTCTCGGCATTCAGGAGAACAAACACGGACTAGTCGGAATCAGTATTCTATGTCTGAGTGGTATTTATGTTAAACCACAACAAAGTATCACAGTGGGCTAGCACTATAAAACCTGCTTTAGGCTGACAAGCAAATCCAAACACACACGCGGCGATGAACCCCATTCAGATGAATCTAATCATGTAGAACATAAACTGACACCCAAAAGAAACTTTACCAAAAACAACAAAACATACATGCATGAAGTAAAGTGTATTGAGAAGATCAATATATCAACATAATCAACACTGAAAATGACAATCATACCGCGACCGAGAATGACGTCAGAGCCCCCCAAACGTGTGGTACAAAACTCGAGCTTTCAGAATCATGGACAATAGGCAGAGTACATTAACAATCGCTCACGTTCAATAACAAGTCATTAGTAACGTGTGTGACCACCAAATGCCTCAATACACGCAACAACTCTTCGACACACACAAAAAAGTTGTCTGATGAGGTCACGTGGGATTTGACGCCATTCTTCTTGGAGCGCCAAGATCAGTTCTTGCCGGTTGGCTGGAGAGTGTGGTTGTTGTCGAACACGACGATCCATCAAGTCCCAGAGGTATTCTATGGGGGACATGTCGGGTGACCGTGCAGGCCACGGCAGGACGTTGACGTTGTTGGCTGTGAGGAAGTTAGTGACAATTCTGGCTGTATGGGCTCTAGCGTTGTCATGCTGATAAATGACAACACGTGGCTGCTGTTGGAGAAATGGTAGGACAACTGGACGACGAATGTTATCCATGTACCGCTGAGCTGTCAAGTTTCCGCCAACGATGACCAGCGGTGTCCTCTCCTGCCCACAGATCCCTCCCCACACCATGACACTCCCTCCACCATATTGTACGACCTCCTGCACGCAACACGCCGCCGTTCGTTCACCCCTTCGGCGGTAAACACGTTGTCTTCCATGAGCCCTAAACATACAGAATCGACTTTCGTCAGTGAAGACAACCCTCTACCAGTCACATCGTTGCCAACGTCGTACATCCCGCACTAATCTCAATCGAAGACGGCGATGTTGCGCTGTCAATAGCTGCCCTCTGTATGGTCTAAAAGCCCTGATTTCACGAGCCCTGGGTCTCCTGGCCACTGTATGTCGACTAACCCTGTGACCAAAGGCATTTGTCGCCGATGACGTCACTGTCAGGAAGCGATTTCGGAGGTGCAAGGTACGCAATTGCAAGTACCGGTCATCATGGGGCGTGGTCACCCTGGGTCTGCCTGTTCTTGGCCTGTCAGCGGTCCGCCCTGTCTGTCTGTAACGTTGCATCAAGTTGGTAACGGCAACACGGGAGCAACCGAAGGTTCGTGCAATATGGGCGTTGGTGGCTCCCATCTGTGCTTTTCACTTTTACGCGTGTTATCTCACAATGTAACAGACAATTAACATCTTCTGCAAACACTATTGTTGTATTTACACAGCTATTTGACACTGTGTTGGGTTTAAAAAAAGCGTAATCATAAGAAACCTCTTCCAAAAGTGGCATCCAGCGTACGATTCCGACCATATCATGGACACGTGTTTATAAATCACTATCAAATAGTGTGATGTTTACGAAAAGGCGAGCGTCTCCTGCCCTACCGAGGCGCCACCCCTAAACCCTTGCAAAGGCAAACTGTGCATCCAAAAAAATACACCCCATTTGTCAGATATCCCATTTGTCATACAGATTAGTAAGGATGGCATATAAAAATATGTGATGCTATTATGTATCAGTCCTATTCGACTTAATCTCCTGAGTTTATGAAAGATCAAACAACTGAGGACCACTCTAATTAGATACAAATATGCTTACTACATGGAGAAGTGAAAACCTTTGAGACCTAATCAATGAACTTTTTGATGACGTAAATAGGAGTGAGTGAGTATGTTTTTAGCAATATTCCAGCAATATCACGGCGGGGGCCACCAGAAATGGTCTTCACACATTGTACCCATGTTGGGATTCGAACCCAGGTCTTCGGTGTGACGAGCGAACGCTTTAACCACTAGGCTAACCGACTGCACCTCTGATAAATGAGAGGATACGCATTCATTAAATAGTGGGGTAGCACTCTGGTGCTTTGTGGCGGGGTTCTTGTGGGCTACACTGCTAGTAACGAATTAACTTGCTTCCAAATTAATACTCGTGCTTAAGGCTACCTGCTTTTCAGCGGGAACCTTTCCGGGGTTACCTGCTTCTCAGTGGGAACCTTGTCTTTCCCGACTTTTCAGCCGGGGGTTCGTTGAATAACATACGTTGGGGTATACAAATGCCACGTATATGGGCCCGGCGGCGGAAGTTGTCTTGTCAAGCGGTAGCTGACAGTTGGGTCCGCGGCGGTAGTCGCACAATGGTGGCTGAAGTACATGGTCACACAGCCGGTACCACAACCAGAATCAGGCGGACGGGTCGCAATGACACGCGTACAGGGGGACATCGCCAGTCAGGTATGCTGGGATTTCAATAAACTTGGTTGTAGCAGGGTCAACTGCAAGTACACTAACAAATGCGGTAAGTGTGGCAAACATTCCCACAGCACTAGGACCTGCTTTCGAGGGAATGGGGTCATACCGACCCCATACAAGCCCAATCAGCCTTTCCCTAACAGAAAACCAGCCGTCAAGGCAGGTAAATTCAATGGCCCATTCCCCTGTGGATCTCAATGAAATGTCACCCTGGTTACGCCAATATGCTAGGGTCAATAACAGAGATGCAAATTATTTATGGGTAGGTTTTAGCTTTGGCTTTAAGCTCGAGTTCCAGGGAAGCCGCATGGGTCGCCTCGCAAGAAACTTGCGATCAGCCACGCACCAAGACACGGCAGGCTACGTGAAACAAAAACTACAAAAGGAAGTCGACCTTGGCAGGATGGCGGGCCCCTTCAAGGACACCCCCCTGGACAACCTCCAAGTATTCCCAATAGGCCTGGTGCCCAAGAAGCAGCCAGGCTATGGTCAGCATCTGGGTAAGCATGCGGAGGAATTCTAATTCTAATTCACCATCTATCCTATCCCAGGGGTAAATCTATAAATGACTTCATAGACACAGAGGCCTGCTCCGTTGTGTATGCCAGATTTGATGAAGCTACGCATATGGTTCAACAACTGGGAAAGGGAGCACTACTAGCAAAATTCGACATTCAGTCGGCCTTTAGAATTATACCAGTCCACCCATCCGATTTCGAGCTACTAGGGATCAGATTCGAAGGTGAGTTCTATTGCGATAAATGCTTACCATTTGGCTGCTCCATATCTTGCGCCATATTTGAAACGTTTAGTACCTTCTTGCAATGGTGCATGCAATCACATCTTCCAACGTGTCAGATCATGTATTACCTGGATGACTTCCAAATGGGGGGCTCAGCAGGCACCAGCCACTGCTCAGACAACCTCAACGGATGTGTGAATACACAGGAACAGCTTGGGGTCCCTATTGCGCACAACAATACGGTGGGCCCCACGACCAAACTGACATTCTTAGGGCTGGAAATCAGAATCCCAGAGTCGAAGATCAAGTAGGCGACAAGGGAAATCCAAGACATCCTGTCAACAGGTAACATCAAGGTCACAAAAAGGGCCCTTCAGTCCCTCATAGGCAAGCTTAACTTTATGTGCAGGGCTATACCAATGGCAAGGGCATTCAGCCGAAGGCTAATCAATCCGCTTAGCAAAGGTAAGCAACCATTTCACCACATTAGGATTACCAGTTGGGTCAAGGAAGACCTACAAATGTGTTTAACATTTCTTATGAGTTATAACGGCATTTCAGTGTTTCAGGACCAACTATGGGTAGACAGCGATTTCCTCCAGCTGTTTTCAGACGCAGCGGGTGGTGCCGGCTTTGGGGCCTACATGCAGGGCAAATGGTTTAACGGCGCATGGCCAGCCCAGTGTGTGACGGATGGAACTACACGGGACTTGACGCTCCTTGAGTTGTTCCCCATCACACTGGCCATCCAACTTTGGGGCAAGCAACTCGCAAACAAAAAGGTCCTCTTTTACTGCGACAACCAAGTCGGCGTAGCAATAATCAACAAACAGTCGACCAAGGCCCCCAGAGTGATGAGCCTACTCCGTCGCCTAATCCTGCAGTGCCTCCGATATAATATTATGTTTAAGACAAAGTATGTATGTTCCACTGCTAACACTATTGCCGATGCTCTCTCGAGGTTTCAGCTCAAACGCATCCGAGAGGCAGCACCAGCCTCGGACCAGAACCCCACACCTATCCCGTGCAACATATGGCTGATCTGAGGCAGGAAGCCGGCAGACTCCTACAACAATCTCTGTCTACAAATACATGGGCCACTTACCAAACAGGCATCAATGCCTTGCACCAGTTCCGGTCCACACACCAGCTACAAGAGGTGTGGCCAGTCCCGCTGGATCAGGTCGTAAACTTTATTGCTTATCTGTCAGTCACTCACCACTCCCCTAACACAGTCAAGACTTACATTGCAGCGCTGTCTTCACACCACAAATTCCACGGGCTCACCGACTGTACAAACCATTTCCTGGTAGGCAAGATTTTAACAGGCCTACACAAATCAGCGGGCCGACCAGACACCAGAAAACCGATCACTGCAGATCTGCTGCAGGTAGTAACCAACAATCTGCCTCACGTATGCTCATCAGCATATGAAGCCAGACTGTTCAAGGCAGTCTACTGCACAGCCTTCTTCGGCTTCTTTAGGGTAAGCGAACCTGGTCCAAACTGGACCCTCAAAAACAGGTTGCGCCATCCAGATTTTAAGCTTCTTGGGCAACCCCCAGCAGCTTTCAATCCATTTATCACACTCAAAGTCTGATCAGTACAGGATGGGGACAACAGTTACAATGTCATCAATACCAGGTAATCCGCTAGGTCCGGTAGTCGCCATCAAGCAGTACCTGGAGGCGCGCCCCTCCGGCCTACAACATGCATTCGTTCATTTCGACCATTCCCCCGTTACAAGGTACCAATTCCAGGCACTCCTAAAAAAGGCCTTAGCACACAGCAACATAAACACGGCTTGCTACTCTTCGCACTCCTTCCGCATTGGGGCAGCCACATCAGCAGCCATGAACGGGGTGCCCGATCACCTCATACAACAATACGGCAGGTGGAAATCAGATTGCTACAATGCTGACATACGTTTACCAACAAATTCAATGTTACACAATTAATTCAAATTGTCTTTCATGGTACTTACTACACTTCTTATTGTTCCAGCTACATGGCCAGGGCACGGCAGTACTTGCTCCTGAAGGGCACCAGTCCGAACCAACCGAGGATGCTATGGCTGGCACAAGGGGGGATGAGGTGGAAGGAGCTGGACACCATTCTGGATGCACAGGTCAAGGCGACACGGCGCACCCCCAGAGCCCTCATCATTCACCTGGGCTCCAACGACCTGTGCTCGGTCAAGGGCAGCCAACTCTACCTTGACATGGTGGCATCAATCCTTCGGATACAACTCCAGCTTCCTGACACCAAGATCATCGTATCCTCAATTCTGCCCAGGCGCTACTGGCACGATGCCAGGGATCCACTAAAGATCGAGGGGATGCGGAAGAATATCAACCGCCGACTGGCCAATCGAGTCAAAGAGCTCGGCGGTACAATGGTGCCACATCCCCAGATCCTGGCATCAGACAAGACATGGTACGCCGAGGAGGGCGTCCACCTCAGTGACAAAGGATTATGTGTGTTTATGGACAATTTATTGCATGCACTGGCGCTTGTTTTGCGCCATTAAGGATGTTATCTCCACAGGTTAGTGTTTCTTTTCAGTACATAGGCAAGTGGGGCAACAATGCTATCTCCGCGCATTGCGTGGCCGTGGGTGTGGGGTAGCACTCTGGTGATTTGTGGCGGGGTTCTTGTGGGCTACACTGCTAGTAACAAATTAACTTGCTTCCAAATTAATACTCGTGCTTAAGGCTACCTGCTTTTCAGCGGGAACCTTTCCGGGGTTACCTGCTTCTCAGTGGGAACCTTGTCTTTCCCAACTTTTCAGCCGGGGAATCGTAAAATAACATACGTTGGGGCAAACAATTGCCACGTATATGGGCCCGGCGGCGGAAGTCGTCTTGTCAAGCAGTAACTGACAGTTGGGTCCGCGGCGGTAGTCGCACAATGGTGGCTGAAGTACATGGTCACACAGCCGGTACCACAACCAGAATCAGGCGGACGGGTCGCAATGACACGCGTACAGGGGGACATCGCCAGTCAGGTATGCTGGGATTTCAATAAACTTGGTTGTAGCAGGGTCAACTGCAAGTACACTCACAAATGCGGTAAGTGTGGCAAATATTCCCACAGCTCTAGGACCTGCTTTCGAGGGAATGGGGTCCAACCGACCCCATACAAGCCCAACCAGCCTTTGCCTAACAGAAAACCAGCCGTCAAGGCAGGAAAATTCAATGGTAGCGTTTAAATATGCTACCGTGGGGGCCGGACAACGGTAGCAGTCTCTGGCCAGCAGCGCTAGCTGCGAATCGCTGTTGGCCACGCTAGTGGCCATGGCAACGGTAGCATTTTGGTATACGCAATTAGCAGCTTAGTAGCCCACTAGTACCTGCACACCCTCGGCCATTTAACCCAATCTCATCTTCTGTTTTTATTATAGGCATGGGCATCCACGGCTCGGTGGCCCTTGCCTCTCCTTGGCACATCGCGGGATAATGGAACATGTAGATTTAATTAACTATTCAAGACATAGACATGAGGTGATATGAGGTGAAATGGAGTTTAATGTCGAGACCAAGATTATTTCACTGAAATAGCGATGTGCTGAAGACCTATTCTACCACGGAATCTTCACGGGTCTGTTGTTGGTTTGACGCCGCCGGGAATCGAACTTCGGACTTTCCTCTCACCGGTTGGACGTTCTACCACAAGACCACGGAGGCGGTCGAAGGTAAATGAAATTTACCTTTTACCAATAGTTACGCAATTATAAACAGGTCATTTTGGGGCTAGACGAAATTTATCAGTTTCGAAAGGAGAAAAAACCCATTTATTGAAACATTTACTTTATAGGTAATAACGTAATAGTTAAGACTTTCACCCAACCACTTCAGGTTAATTATTATTACAGGGCGGTCGGGTAGCCTTGTGGATAAAGCCTTCGCTCGTCACGCCAAAGACCCTGGTTCGATTCCCGACATGGGTACAATGTTTGAAGCCCATTTCTGGTGTCCCCCGCCGTGATGTTGATGGAATATTGCTAAAAGCGGCGTAAAACCATACTCACTCACTAATTATTATTACCCACAACATGCAATATATTTGCAGCTATAACATTAACATATACATTAGAAACAAGTTAAGTCCACTAACACTTACACTTGTTACCTGAAACCAGGTCATCCTTTCACTATGGTTTAGCGTAAGAGGTTTTGAACCAAGAGACGAATTCACGTCGGCGACACTGAATTGTACACCACGTGGCCTCTTAGTGTAAATGTTATTGGTGAAATGATGAAGGATATTTCTAGCTATGGCCTCCATGAAGTTAAAATTTGACTCGATTCTGTCACCACCTCTATTTCAAGCGAGCTGATATGAAAGCTGATATTTTTTTAAATTGGTTATACAATATATACGTCTTCCTTAATTAATTATGTGTATCTTGAAGATACACATGTCTACAACTACATTTGAGAACAAGAACAGGGATAAAGAATTATGAATGGTTTGTTTGTTTTTTATTTTTCTGACAAATGAGCGTGAAAACGTGAACACGCCTTTAATAAAAGTGAACCGTTATAATAGTGAGTGAGTGAGTATGGTTTTACGCCGCTTTTAGCAATATTCCAGCAATATCACGGCGGGGGACACCAGAAATGGGCTTCACACATTGTACCCATGTCGGGAATCGAACCCGGGTCTTCAGCGTGACGAGCGAACGCTTTAACCACTAGGCTACCCGACCGCCCCCGTTATAATAGGAGTACCTTGAAACCAGTGATGGGTTTCGCGGCACCTATGTCACGCAGGTGAAGGTAACTGCATCGTTGTATTCAAAGGGGCAATGGATCTGCCGCACTGGCACTTTGATAGAAGTCAAATCAGCTGCAGGTATGTATAAAATCGTTTCAAAGCGGAAATTAATAACAAATATTCCATAGAAAGATATGAAGCATTTAAAAACCTTAAAAACTCCATGTGTGAATAAAATATACCATGTCTGATGAATCAAGATATGATTTAAAAAAAAGAACATGAAGGTAATAAACTGGAAAACTTACAGTCACAATTTCTGCGAGAACCATTTTCTGTTTTGTTCGCTGCTTACCGCTGCACAGCTAGAATAAGTGATCTCAGTACAGGACCTAGATATCAGCACCCCTGTTTCACTTTCATACATGCCTATGCAGCTCTTCTGTCACTAAGCCAGGGAGAAGGTAAGGTGTAAAAATAGGAATTGTATAACTGTATTGTACAGTATTGTAATGGTAACAGCCAGCGTACACACACAACACAATCGGCGTGCATATGATAAGGGTCCATTGTCCTAAAACACTATTATTATTTGCGAACAGATAACAATGATCATTCAGATACAGTATCAACCGTATACACCGTATACACATATCCTTAGTGTATCCTGCATTATTATTGGGATTTTATCGACAAAGCGAAATTAGCCCCGTAAATAATAATTATGCAAACTTTCGTTAGAAAAAAAAATGTCAACCACAAAAATGATATCGTTGGAATGTGTTTTTAGGCAAAAAATAGATCCCCCCCTATCAGAATATCAAGAATATCAGATGGTTGGTCCCTAATAAGGTGTCAACATAACATACCACGTTAAAAATACATATCCTTAGTGTATCCTGCATTATTATTGGGATTTTATCGACAAAGCGAAATTAGCCCCGTAAATAATAATTATGCTTCCTATCGTGAGAACAAAAAATGTCGACCACAAAAATGATATCGTTGGAATGTGATTTTAGGAAAAAAATAGATCCCCCCTATCAGAATATCAAGAATATCAGATGGTCGGTCCCTAATAAGGTGTCAACATAACATACCACGTTAAAAATACGTTTAGGCCAAGACAATAAAACTGTGTTGCAAAACGAACGCAGCAGACGTAATATTCAAACTTAAGCAACAAAATCAGTAAATGCACTGTCGTGTCACTGGATTTTCTGTTTCGTCACTTGATTGTCTGGTTTGTTTGCAGGCAAGCGTCCCATGGCAGGAGTAGTGTTGGTCAGAGTCAGGCCAGAAACACTTACTGTTTGAAACATGTTGTGTAAGTGGCGGGTGCTACCGACAGAACAGGATGTGCATATTTCTTAAACGCCTTATTCTTCACATCTTCCCGAAGCAAGAGAGTTAACAGACTTCAAAAATCTAGTTTCCACCCTTGCCGAACTAGGCTGGAATTACTGGACTCGATCGTAGTGGCTATTACCAGTTATGTCCCTTTTAAGCCTCTCCTATGGACCAATCAGATTCCATCACTTGCGTTTGCTTCACACAAAATGGTGGCGCCAAGTCAGGACGATCTGATCGATAATCAAGATCTATATTGTGATAAAACGGGTCTTACATCGCGCAATTCATCAAATCACGTAAACACCTTGATTTAAAACTTGAAAAGATTTGGAAAATATCTGCTGACAACGGGTTGGCGGTGCACATGATTTGCAAATCCTGCAATCGATCGTAATCTGCACGACAGTTTACGAACCTGATTTCGATTTCGGTGCGCCATTTTGATTGGCCTATGCATAGACTCGTTAGTCCAGCCAAAATGTAACTCAATAATACCAGCCTAGTTCGGCAAGTGTGAAAACTGGATTTTTATAGTCAGTTACCTCTCTTGCCCCGGGAAGATGTATTCTTCAATATCGGACATCTTTGAGGGCGACTTGATACCATCAACGTTGCAATGTTGGTAGCAATGGTTACATATATAGCAGCTGGTATCGCTGGTTGAAACCCGCTGTTTTTGGAAGTTCGAACCCACTTCTGACGATGAGACGTTAAACGTGATCTGCCGCTTCGTTGGTGATCACCGCCGTCTTCCTGGTTTCCTGAGACTGTTTCATTGTTGACATGTTTCATTCCCTAACATGTTCTCGTTGCAATATGGCTGAAACAATAACGGTGTGATTGTACATTTTCACTCACTCACTCAAATCACAAAAGAGACAAAACCCTTTCCATATGCAACAAAATGAGTTTTTTATGCACATAGTATAAGTGGCGCGCTACCGGAGGGGCAGGACATGCGTACCCTTTTCGCGAACACCTGGTGTCATCACTGATTTTCAGTGATCCATTCATACAATTTGCACTTCTATTTTGAATTTTACGACGAATAGTGAGTGAGTGATTGAGTGATTGAGTATGGTTTTACGCCGCTTTTGAATCCTACATGGATACCTTTCCGGAAACCTTCCAACAGAATTGTCAAAATGTGTTCAGTAAAGTCCGATATACATCTCTGCAGGTACCCTGAAGACTTCAGATTCAAATGTTCTCCATGTTCTTTTTGTGGTTCGATCCTCGTTAGCGTCCTACCGAAAGTCGTCAAAAGATGAACCAAAGGAAGGTAATAAACCTGAAAACTTACAGCAAAAGAATTTGCCTTTTTTTGTTTCTATTACCGCTTTCCTCAATACTCCTCGTGACCTGTGAAGATCCGGGGTAGAATAGGTCTTCAGCAACCAATGCTTGCCGAAAAAGGCGACTATGCTTGTCGTAAGAGGCAACTAACGGGATCGGGTGGTCAGGCTCGCTGACTTGGTTGACGCATGTAATCGATGCTCATGATATCAATCACTGGATTGTCTAGTCCAGACTCGATTATTTACAGACCGCCGTCATATAGCTGGAATATTGCTGAGTGCGGCGTTAAACAACAAACAAACAAACCATACTCCTCGTAACAATACCAGGAACTACTGGTAGTAAGCTGCGCATGAAGCGCGTCAAGTCCATACTAGTCCGTACACATTTTCCCTATCTGCCCGTACGCCATGTTAAAGGTAAGGTGTAAAAATAGGACTTGCATAACTTGAATGGCTGTATTGTACTGCAGTGTAATTCCGTATTGTAATTCTTCGCCCACATACAGGTAATATAGCCAGCTTTCATCTACAAGGTGCGTGTGTTTGTGTGCATGTGCATAGAACTACGGTCGTTTTAGATTAGCAAAAATTGAACAATGTGATGTGTCAATACAGTATCCAGCATTCGCACAAATGCCCGTGTGTTTTTGGTTTTTGTTGTTTAACGTCGCAGTCAGCAATATTCCAGGTATCTGAGGACGTCCACTGAACTATCGAGTCTATTATGTGTAACGCCCCAAGCCGTACAGGTATGAATTGAACAATGGACCACCCGATCCATTCAGTCGCACGGTACAGCAATTTTCTTCTGTTTCTTTCAACAACATACAATGTATCTCAATAAAAGGATTAAAAAAAACTCCATGGGGAGTATAGAAACCAAGTTGCCGTATGAGGCACTAGAGTGTTTAACAGTCACATTACCATCTCATCATACTAGGAACCCATTCACTGCTGTGTGAACAGAGACATACTTCCAACGAAGTCACTTGCACAACTGAGGATAAACCATATTTAAACTATGTTTCATGTGAAGCAGAATTGAAGCCCAGGAAACATTAAGTTTAGCTGGTCACCCACCAACCTTCTCTCCGCGACCAACAATCTCAAAACACAGTAGGTTTATGTCCTAATTATCAAATGGATTTAAACAATATTTCACATGGCCTCTTATGTTGAGGTTCAAATTTACTTTTCATCTTTATTTTCTTACTTTCTCATTTGTAACACCTTGTTTCTAAATATAATTATTAATGACTATAACACGATCAACCTGCTCGATTAGCCTGCAATATCTTCCATCCATACTGTTTTTTTTTGCAATGTTGAAACCTGGTCTGGGTGCGCACCTGATATTGTTTAATAGCAAAATGTTGATAACTGATATTACACAAATATCACGTGGTGATAAACAATACACGATATGAATACAAGTTTTAATTGTATTATATAAGATAGCTACGAGATAAATCGCAAAGAACAATGAAGAACGAAGCGTGGCTTATTTCTCGCCCTTTGTGGAGATTCGAACATGCACTCGCAGCTTAAAAATTGACGTCGTAAATGGGACGACTCTATTTTTGAGAGGGAACTGTCTAGTGAGTTGGTTCCCCATAGCTTGGCAAGTCAGATAAACGCGATGGCCGAACGATCGCATCCAAAAGCGGGAGAAATATGACAATCGGACGTGGGGAAATACCTACCTGTGCATAGAATGGACTTGTCCGACATTGTCGAGGTCGGATTCTCTTCAGGGAGTCATCATTAGTTAAATACGGCTAGATATGTTTAAAGCTTATACATTTTATCATCATCCTTAAAGAGGCTGTACATAATGTTGAAATCTCATATTAAAAAAAAGAATTCGCACTATAAAGTATGCAGGGAGAATAAACCACACTTATTTCACCTGCAGTATTTTATTGTACGATAAACAACTCCACCTCGTCATTTACGTCTTAAATATTGCTTTTCAGGGCTACTTCTTGCACCTTAATAAGATGAATACTGAAACACTATGCATTTATTCGTTTTACAGGATAATAACCAATCCAAAACAGTGTTCCATGGTTGTAGTATATATAGGCGAATGTCATAGAATGATGGAGGGGCTTGTGACCTAAGGGTATATTGTGAACACTTTGTTTTCGATATGACATTGGAAAGTAATTCTATGTACAATGTAATATAAACTATTCAGTGCAGTACTATGACTTTGGTTACGGATAGTGTGTTTTTCAGTGACAGTTTAAATGTTTTCTCCAAACATTTGTTTCAGTACGTGTCCCATGTACTCTTATGAGCGCAGACACTAATTTATGGGGTGCTGTTCCTACACAGGAATATATCTAATTATATTTCCAAGGATAATGTTCACACAAGCATGACTGTCAGAAATAATTCCTTACCAGAAGTATTATCCTCAATCGCTAATTATACTAGAGTCCAGTTTCTGAATAATTAAAAACAAGAGGCCATGTACTTAAATTCGGAAATTTGAATTTGAATGAACGGTATTGAGTTCCAAAAGACATAAAGAATTCATCTTCACCTAAAAGATTTGTGTCGATAGATGACATGTTCATGTTTCAAAGTTGTATTCAATACTCAAACAGGCACCTTTTTTAATTACTTCTAATTTGGAACAGCTTGAGGCCAGCGTTCTTGACAGTGATAGATGTCCATTATGGCATAAGGTCTCATGTTAATTGCTACACATGGGGGGAAAAACAGTGAATGTGAGGAGCATGTTGGTAC